TCGTCGTCGTCGTCGTCGGACGCTGCCTCTTCCGATTCGTGCACCGAGGATGGCTGAGGAGCGGGCTCGGTTTCGGGCTGGCCCGCAGCCGAAGCTGTGGATTGAGCCGAGGCCTGTGCGGCGCCCTCGTTTGCCAGTCCGTCCTGGTTGCGCTGACCTGCGATCTCCTGCGGGCTGGCGGGGAGGCGCTGGCTCTGCGAGTCCTTCCAGGCGCGGATGCCGTGCAAGCAGTGGATGCGTGCGGCGAGGCGCGTGAGGGGATGTGCGAGCGCATCAATGTCGATGCCCTGGTCGATGAGCGGATGGAGCGGCTCGGGATAGATGAGTTTGAGCAGGCGTGCTGATCGTCTGCGGCTGGACTCGGGGCGAGCGTTGGTGGCTGATTTGGAGGAGGACGATGACGCTCGTCTCGCCGAAGTGGAGGAGGACGCTTGTGTGGGTGTAGCCGAGGCGTCGGTCGGGTCTTTTGGTTCGCGCTTGGGATTGCTTAGAGTGGTGGTGGCCTGCTGATTGGAGAGGCGGCGACGCTTGAGTGCCTGCGGAGATGAAGGCGCGTTTGTGGAGGTGTGTGCCAGCGCCTGAGCCTTGTGCTCGTCGAGGCTGTGCATGATGGAGCGAGGAAAGATCCACTGGCTCCATGTGGGCTGACCGGAGGCGAGAACTGAGTTGTCGAGCCAGGTCGAATTGCGACAGGGCTGCAGATTGGCAGCGGGCACGGCGGTGTCGATGACGGAGAGAAGGGCGGAGAGGACGGCGTTGAAGTTGAGCGTGATGGGAGTGTGGTTGGACGGGTCGCCGGCAAAGAGGCGTGCGGCACGATCTCGGGTCTGTACGAGGGACATGATGGACGAGGCGGCTGCTGCTGCTGCTGGCTTGGCAGGCGATTCCTCGTGTGCTTCGTCGTGTTCAGGGTCCTGGGGTTGCCACAGCGAGGGAAAGTCGTCGAAGCGTTCGAGATAGAGGCGCTTCCAGAGGTGGAGGTCGCCGGTGTTTTGCTCTCCATAGACGTGGCGGCGTGCGAGCTTGCATGTCTGCGAAAAGTGTTCGATGCAGAGCGGTGGGAGGTCGAGGAGGATGGTATGGATGAGTTCGGTGGGGAGGGCCAGGATGCCCGCATGAGGAGGTGGTGGTCGGACGTGATCGTCGGGTTCGTCTGCGTCGAGCATGTTTGCGTGTGCCGCTGCCGGACTGTAAGGCAAGCCGTGTTAGCAGTTGGTGGTGGTGGTGGTAGTAGAGACGACAACTGAGCCCTTTGAGCTGGTGATGGATCCGCCCAACTTTGGTCTTGGATATGAATATTTGGGCGGGTGATTTAAGGGAGGAAGTGTGAATCAGCCTCTGACCCTGTGGCTCTTCTCCAGCCAATGCGCAGCAGATGCACTGCACTCTGAAGTCACGCGGCAACTCCGTGGACCCTGTGAGCGGGAAAAATCAGCTTTAGGATGTCAGATCGATATACCAAACATCCTCAAAATTCGCCGACGCGTAGAGACCAACACCGCGCTCCAAAGCCAACCAAATCTCGGTCCGACTCTGCCTCTCGCTCTTTCCATCCCACCTCGACTCTGTATATCACACACACACCGCCATGGTGCCAGCCGACGCCGCTTCGGCTTCAAGCCCGGCGCATCCGTTCCACAGTCCGAGGCCACGCCAAATCACCAAGCTCTCCATGGCAGCTCCCACAGCCACACGATCCTCACCGCACTCGCCGCACACCCCCACCCACCTCGCACATCCGTCCAACATGGCAGCAGCATTCAACCCGGACGGAAGCCTCAGCGTCCTGCGCAATGACGACGATGCCAACAACAGCGGCCTGCTCGACCTCAGTCCGGCGTTCTCCAGGATGGTCAAGTCGCGACCCAACTTTGGTTCGCCGCGCGGCGACTCCACGCCTTCGTCCAAGCCCTTGCGCCGCGTACAGACGGGCACCAAACCAAAGTCTCGCCTCAGCATCCCTGTGGTGCTGTCCGATCTCGTCCATTCGTCACAGCCAGCCGGCGACCACATGCACACCGACCCGCTCGCCCCCAACGGCGCCGCCCCCGGCACTTCAGTCGCAGCTCATCCCTCGACGTCCATGCACATGTACGATCCACTAGCACCTGACGCTGCTGCGGACGACGACCTCCAAGACGTATCGGACGACCACGACGATGCGCCCGCCTCGACGCTCACACGCCTCCGCAGATGGCGCCAGGACGCCATGCAGCAGCACCTCTACGACACGGCCATCTTTTGGAGCACCAAACTGCTCTCGCTCGAGACAACAGCGGCTGCCTACAACGACGCCTACCATCTCGCGCAGTGCTACTTCTACACACATCAGTACGCCCGCGCCGAGCATCTGCTCACCAACCCGCTCCGCATCCGCGCTCCTCGGTCGCAAGCGCATCCACCAGCTCCCACCGACGCCGCCGCCTCTTCGTCGGCCAAGCACACGGGTGCAGAAGGCTTCCTCATGTCAGACAACGTGCAGGACGACGACGACGCCTTGCACGACGTGCTGCAGCGAACGCGATCTGCATCCATCCTGCCGCCTAGCATCATGGCGCGCTCCTCCACCAAGGACAGCATGTACTCGGCCACCTCCTCCACCACGGGCAAACGCAAGAAGCGCGACTACAACCTCTCGGCCAACGGCTCTTCGGGCGCCGACAGTGCCAGCAATCCTGCCGACTCGGACGACGATACACACGATGCCTCGGCTGCGACCGACCGCGATGGCTCGGTGCTCGTGCGCGCCTATGCGAACCGGCGCTCGACACGGCCACCCGCGGATACCACGCTGGATCTGCAGCCCGACGTGGACGCGGTGCGCAACGCGAGCGTCGAGCGTGCACATGGGCCCGTGCTCGTCAACCACAGCCTGGCATGTCGCTACCTCGCAGCGCAGTGCCAGGTGCGGCTGGCAAAGTACCACGAGGCACTCGATCTGCTCGGCGAGACCGAGCACTGGGGTGCGTCGGCGAGCAATCGCAAACCCGCCACCGATGGCGGCATCAAGCTCGGTTCGTCGGTCGCCTTTCTGCGTGGCCAGATCCATTTGCGACTCGAGGACCTGCCTCGGGCGAGGGATGCGTTTATGGCTGCGCTGGCGCTGGACGTGAAGAACTACCAGGCATTTGCGGCGCTGGTGGATGGCGAGATGCTGGGTACCGACGAACAGTGGGCGTTTGTGCAGAGTCTCGAATACGCAGCGCAGGCAGGTGATGAGCCGGGCGCAAGGGAGGACTACGAACTCGTACGTCTGCTCTACACCACGCAGCTTTCCAAGCAGGCCCGGACGCATGCAGCCACCACGGCAGCAGCACGACGTAGGCTGGTGGCCGAGTATGCGCTCGACGATGATCCGGACGTGCTGTGTGGGCTGGCTGCCGAGCTGATTGCGCGGCTGCGGTATTCGGATGCCTTTGTGGTCACCAGTCGCGTGCTCGAACTGGCAGCTGATCATCCAACGGCCCTACCCATCCACATCGCCTGCACGTACCACCTCAAGAACCTGCGTCCGGCGCTGTTTATGCTCGCGCATAGGCTCACCGAGTTGCAGCCCGAATCGCCCGTATCGTGGTATGCGGTGGGCACCTGGTACGCCACCACTCGACGCTGGGCCGAAGCACGCCGATACTTTAGCAAGGCCTCGCTGCTCGATCCGCGCTTTGCACCGGGGTGGATTGCGTTTGGACATACGTTTGCACTCGAGGGCGAGAGCGACCAAGCGGTCATCGCCTACTCGACGGCAGCCAGGCTGTTTCCGCAATCGCATCTGCCCAAGCTATTCGTGGGTATGGAGCATCTGCATCAGGACAACCTTTCGCTTGCACGGCTCTCGCTCGATGCGGCGGCGGCCATTTCGACTGCCGATCCGCTGCTGGCAAATGAGCGGGGCATCGTTGCGTTTCAGACGGGCGATCTTGTGGGGGCGGTCGGCTTTTTCGAGAAGGCGATTGAGCTGGCGCGCGAGACGCAGCAGCCCGCAGCAGCGTGGAAGGCATCGTACCTCAACTTGGGCGTGGCAAGGATGCGGCTTGGACGCGACAAGGCCGCAAGCGAGGCCCTGCAGGCAGTGGTGGAACTCGATCCACACAGCTACCAGGCGCATCTATGTCTGGGCATGCTGGCGCACAAGCACGATAGGCTGGATGATGCGGTGCAGCACTACCACGAGGCACTATCCATCCACCCGCGCGACGCTCATGCTACCGAGCTGCTCGACTTTGTGCTCGACGAAAAGGTGCACTACGGCGTCAACGATTTCGCAAAGTACGATCCGGATTCGCGCCTGCGTAGAAGCGGCGACCAAGCGGCAAAGGGCAAGCAGAGACAACAAGCGGTGGCCCAATCGGTGCTGAAGGCGTCGACGCAAAGTGCTAGCCCAACGCGCACAGCACCCACTCACCACCCGGCCACGCCACAACGAACCCCGGCACACGCATCGATGCACTCGGCGGGCGAAATGAGCCTCGACACGTCAGCGTCGCACTCGCATACGGCGCACACCGACGCCGACCAGTCGAGTGTGCTCATGGACGAATCGACGTCGTGAAATGGCATCGCATCGTCCTCATGCACACACTGGTGTCTGGAAAAGCGTGAATTGAGCCGGAACAGAGAGAGAGAGAGAGAGAG